AAAATAGAAAATACTGAATTCGTTACAATTTAAAGTCCATAAATTCTTTTACGGAGTATGTAGGATTTTTCAAGAAAAGGTCTTTCAGCCGGCGCCCAAATATTTCGTCAGTTGGTTCAAGTCTGAGAGTAGCGGGTAAACGCTCATAGTAAGTAGGTCCGATGACACGCGGGTTTTTCTCTGCAAGTGCCATGCGTCGAGGGACTGTTCTCAAATGACCGGTACGGCGAAGTGGGATGCCAGAAACATTCACAGTACCAAATGAAGACAAATTATTTCTAATATACATCATAATTTCGTATAAGTTAAGTGAGTAGTGCGTCATTATGCGTTGCGCTACAAAGAGATTTCTGCAGGAATGTCTGTGTTTTACCCCAACCAATACGCGTACGGCACGTTTTTGCATTAGCATGACTCTATTGGCATTCGTGGAGTTACCCCATATGAGTGAAACGTACGACATCAGCGAGTGGAAATATGCAAAATAGACCTGTTTTAATGCAGAATCAGAAATGAGCAATTTCAGTTTACGCAACGCAAAGACTGCATCACTCAGTCTATCACACAGTCTGCGTGAAAATATGTGAAAATATAGAGTTGAAATTCCTGAACAAATTTTGTTTTGGGTTTACTACTATTCTGTGAAGACAGGAATTAAAGATATTCTGGTATGAAGTTTTGGAGGTTATGTGTTACGTAATTGAATATAACCTAACCTCCGGTTAAAAAACCGACCTCAAAAGTCATTCATCCCCTAGTTAGTCACCCGTAGAGGTGGAATATTTTCTTCAAATTTAAATGGGACCACATCTGAAGTACCTTCTTTCGAACAAAAAAGAATCATCAAAATTGCTTCACAAATGGCGGAGTTATACAAAAAAAACGATGAATTGAGAACCTCCTCCTTTTTTTGAAGTCGGTTAAAAATATTATTATATCACATATAACAGAGTTAATAAAAACTGAATGGTGCCGTGTGTTTGTAACGTAACTAAAGTTCAGAGGAAATTCTTTTGTATACTGGTGTGGTCTAAAGGCATGAAGTTATGCCATAACAAAAAAACTTGAGGTAATTAATATAATACCACAGTCATTGCACTGGTAACACGGACACAAATTGTATTTTTGTGAAATGTGCGATGGCACATTTATAAATAGATGTATCCCTGATTTTGGGAACTTTTTGTCAGTATTACCATTTTCTCGCGTGGCATTTTGGAGAAGAAATTATCGACTTTATTTTTTGTAATGCAGTAGTTGATCTTTTATTAGCTTATTACAAATAGGTAGAATCAGTACATTTGATATTAAGAGAACTAAATGTGGACTACATCCATACGTAGGTACTGAAATTCCTTTATTGGCGGTTAGATGTCGCTCAACGTTACTGATAGTTTCTTTTTATTATATTATATAGGCAGCAAACAAGCATACGGCCCGCCTGATTGAAAGCGGTTACCGTCGCCTATGAACGCCTGCAATACCAGGGGAGTCGCGAGCGGGTTGTCGACCCTTTAGGACCCTTCTCAAACCCCTTTTGAAGGACTCCACTCCACTCTGTATTCCTGCGGGAAAACCCCGACAGGGAGTTCATTCTACAACCTAATTGTACGTGGGAGAAAGCTCCTGTGAAACCGTACAATACGAGATCGACACGGTTCCAGAGTGTGAGGATGGACTCCCTGCCGTTGGCGAGTGGTGCGATGATAAAATGTTGCTGTTGACATCATGTCAAACAGTTCTTTAGAACATTGGCCATTGTACAAGAGATAGAACAGGCATTGGGAGGCAAAGTCTCTCCTCCAAGATAGTGGTTCAATATCGTCTGTAAGCACAGGATCGTCGACAGTTCTCATAGCACATCTTTGAACCGCGTCAAATGGTCCAACCTGGCATCCAGGAATTCCCGCCCAAAGATGGCAGCAGTATTCCACGTGGAGACGGACTTGTGACTTATAAAGTTGCAGTCTCTGCCCCGAAGTGAAATACCGCTTAGCCTTGTTGAGCACACCAAGCTTTTTGGACGCCATTTATAGATATCAGTCCGGTTACGTACTAATTAGTCATTACAGTTTCTTTTAAATTTGATTTTATTTCCAGACTTAGGCCGTTAGTTAATACAATTATAGGAGTTGGTTATTATCGTATTTAGGTAAACATTCAAATGCTTTATTTTATTATAGTAACGAGACCTTTTTTGTTTTCTATTTTATTTTTAATTGATAAACAACAGAAAATGTGTACTAAATTCTTTATTTTTGTGTTTCTGCGTAAATATTTCATGTTATATAATGATTAGAAGATATTATAATATGTTTGATTCTTTTTGTTTTGTTTTATGTATGAAAAATAAATAAAGATCCGTTTTATTCGTAATATCCGGATATCCGGATTTAAAAAATATTGATATTCGATATATCCGGATCCAGGAAATGGACGGATAATGCAAACCCTACACGTAACGTAATAGTACGAGCAAGTGATAGGTAACCCTGCCACTTCACGCACACAATTGCGCGTGTGCAGATAGCGCCTTGCTATATGTAGTAATAGTAGGTAAATAATTTTCGACTGTTGTATGGAGTGTCCGGGGTGTGACGTAATCTTTACCTATCGCTTCTTTACCTATTTTTTAAATTATGATTATGTACTAGTATGGTTATAATTTACTACTTATTTACATTAAATAGAAAAGTTGACTGAAAAAAGTTTTTTGTAATTTAGGTTTGGTACTTACCAACTTTAAGTTACATGAAAGTATTGCTAGAAGTACCTAGCTTCACAGTGGTGATACCTAGCTTCACTCCGGCACGGAGCCACCACCAGTTATGCAGAGATTCGCACGTGAGTTTCGTTTCAATATTAGACTCCATACCTTTGAAAGCAGAAACTTCGACACTCATATCCTCCGCGTAAACCAAACGTTTCACATCATACCTTAAGAATAGACACGCACTTGTACTTGGTAGATTACCGCTGGGTCTGCTGAACCTGGTAGCGGTTCTTTTTTGGCACTAACTCTTGCTTATATACCAAACCAAACCACGTGGCATTCCGCGACAGACTAGGTTAGAATCATGCGGGATATCAGCGTGACGTAGACGCAGTACGGGAAACAAGGTCGACTGATCTATCAATCGCGTGCTCGATACGACACTTTCCCGCCGTCGCTACTCGTACTCCACCACCAAATAGATCTAAAATGCGTTTCTGCGCATTTAAGGTTGTTCAAAATGTTTGCAAGTGCCGTGCAAGTCAATGACCTTTGGATCAAATTTGTTTACCGCAATTAAATAAAAAAATAGGAATTTACGATTATTACGATCGATTTTCTTTTTTCTGATTTGGTTTCAGTTTCGGATATATAATAACCTCTGTAAATATGGCGAGAATGCAAATCAACACACTGTGTATATATAATATACTGTATGTAACCATACATGTGTGTGTAGCACTCCTGCTTTTATTCATGTTTAGCCTCTCTCCATCCTAAGGTTGTCTGGAAGAAATCGCTGTAAGCGATAAAACTGCCAATTGTTACCCTGCTAATGTGTTTAATTTTTGTCCTGCAATCTCTCCATGTATGTGGTGCTAACAATAAACCATTTTCTATCTACTTATCTAACTACTAATTGATTAGCTACGTCACTACGAAAATGTCAGTGCCTTTACAGGGTTTAAATAGGAATGTAATAATAGCTTTTGTACTACATAAAGCAATAAATGATATGATTATGATTAGTATTTAGGTTCCAATTCGAGTTTCAATCGTCATAGTTAATAGTGTTATACTGGATTCTTGTATGAATAATAATATATAATAACTAACTAGTTGAGTATTTTCACAAAAAAAATATAAAAAGTATGGTAGTGAAACATGCTATTCAATAAATAAATATTAAGCTACGGACTAAGCTACGGAGCGAACTAGCGGACCTTACGAATTTTTCTGTGCTTGTTGCAGATCTTTGTTTTTGGTTGCTTTTTAACGACTTCTTGCCGTAGCTACTTGCCAAAGCTGTCTTAAGGTACAGGGATTGTTTACAAATAAAATTGTATTTTTGCAACCAAACTATTTATTATCTTTCTGTTTATAGCATTATAGTAAATGGGCCAGCCTGTATATAAGTGTACATATTATTACATTACATTTAATACTTTTATTCATTTGTTTTAGAAAATTTGGCCGTCGATGTACAAAATAAATTATTGTGTACATCACAGGCTCTTCAAATAGAGTCTCCCATTGGTCAGGTCCTTTGGGATTTTTATTGGATTTTAGTTGTATTTTCTTTTGATCGTCGATAGTGTAGACAATACGAATACGTCCTAAGTGGAACTGAGAGCTGTGTTGACTTATGCATAATAACTAAAGTATGATGGCGTTTTCACGTTTGTCCGCTCATTAAATTTCGTATTAATTCATAACTAGGTACATTGAAGGACCTAATTGCTGTACATTGTTGTCAATGGTGACGTGCAGTAAAATTTATGGACTAAATAATTTTACGATACAACACGGCATTTGTTTTTCGAAATTCGACATTTAAAAAAATGGAATCTAATACGATTATCACTTATAGGATCGCTGACCAGCACAACTTCACAGGCAAACTCGCGTCAAAGCTCAATGCAGTTTCGAATTGACGATATTTTTAAGTAAACATTTTTATTTTCGTTTTATTAAAACTTGTTAATCAGCTGCCTCTTGCAATACTAGTTACAAATCTAAAAACTTATAGTTGCGACTTGAATTTGATTACATTTTTGTCGATAATGAATTGAGATTTGACCTCACTATTGTGAGACCTCACTAATCTGTCAGCGGACATCATAGCGTGCCAGTACTATTGCAGTACTTAAGTTTAAGTCTAAAGGGAGTTAGATATTTCAAATGTTTTTCAAAGTATTTCATCACGTTTCTCTGACATATATTTCCTCATGTCAACCATTTAATAAATGTGAAATGAAATAATAGCTCTGTTGGTAATTGTCCATAGTGCGGAGTACGGCAGCGGAAGGTACACTGGTTTCGGCAACACGAAACCGTCGCAGTCGACACCAATGTCGCCTATCCACAGCGGGAACGAGGTTGTTGACAATACTCTCGCGTCTCTCGCCACGGTAAGTCCTGATGCTGATGCTGAGTTCTGACTGAGCAGACGAAAGCATCTTTATCTTCACTTTAATAAATTCGGTTTATCATTTCATCTTAATTTTCCGAATAATATATGTTACGTTAATATATGTTAATTAATATTTATACACATATGATGTACTTTTACACAGAAAACAACACCTTTATTACCATGTACATATACTTACCATGATGAAACGTAATTTAATGTTATTAGATCCTATTTCGAAATTCGAATTGGATACAAGTACTAAAACGAAACAGAATAAATTGTCGATGGATCAATTCCGAACTAATAACTAGCTGGAACGTTGCAGATTTCTATTTTTCAGCAGCCGAGAGAAATATTCAAATAATTTCTGTGTATTTTATCGAATCCACTTCCAAAAACCAATTCGTAATATGTTATGATATTCGAATCCTATTTTCGAGAAGTGGATATGCACTAACAAAATAACAATTCCCCGAGCGTAACGGGATCTGTGAATTAGGAGTTCTAGATGTGGGCCGCACAAACGCTCTCATTACTGTTGTTATACACCCTTAGAGGTCATTTAAAGTGCACACTGTAGTTTGCCTAAAAATATGTTAATATACACTTAAGAGCGGTTACACGATTACGATTTTTAGCAGCGCGTCTACAGCGATGCAGTCGCGATGCAGTCTCCAATCGTCTACACACAAGCGCGACTTGAGCAGCAGTCGCAGCTGCAATAATACGAATGCGACGCCATACAGTATCGATGCAATCACGCGTTTGCATCTATGTAACCGCTTATAAAGCGCTAGGGTCGCGACGCAATCGCGTCTCGTCAAAGCGCGTTTTTAACCGCTCTGTGAATTAACCCCGTGAAAGCTATGTCCACAACAAACTACTTCTAGAAATATATTACGTATTATATATACTTTACAAATAAACTTTGTAATATTGTAGTAATCAGCAACAGTCAATACTAGTAATAAATTCCATAAATCCAATTAAGTTGCAATAAACAGACAATTTGTTGGGATCAGTCGAACATGCTCGTTGCAATGCGAAAAGCAATAACAGGTATATTTCTTATATATTATAATAAAACTATCTTTTGTTTGAATAAAAATATAATGCCATTGTCATTGACTTACAAATAAATGGACGACGGGTCTAATACAAAAACCACGAAAAAAATGTCCCAAGTCAACCTATTTACACGTAGTGACATGTAAAGGAATATGAAAAAGCTAAAACGTTAGATTTATATTGTAATGTCATCGCAGTACTGTCTAATTTTGCTTGCTTCGCTGTCAGTCGAACAAACGAAGACTAAAGCGTGAATGACGCTCTGTATACGATTTTAACGCCCTATAAGTTCGGACACTTTTTAGCGCGGACTCGACGTCCATATAATTGTAAGTCAATGGCCATTGTCAATTATTTGGTCAAGTGCGAGTTATCCATTAAAATGAATAAAAATTTTTGTGCAGTTTCATGTAAGGATCATTTCATTGTATGGGAAAAAAAATCGCAGAAGCAGAAGTTGATCACATTTATATAAATATATATATAATAATATATAATGTTAACCATTTTGTATGAAAACATCTTTTTATTAAATCTGACCTACTTCTGCTGTCCCAATTTTTTTCGTCCCATAAAATGAAATGAACCTTATATGAAACTGAGTCGATCGACACGAAAAAATATTTGATCAATTTTGCTTATTTTTATGGACAACTTACACTTTTTGACTTATTTTGACAAAATAATTGACTATGCCATTGTATTTTTATTCAATTATTACCTCTTATGAGTAGGAAAACTAAAGCCTCTCTACGAATGTCATATTAAATATAAGGGAGCGTTTAATGTTAAAATTTTGTATAATTTCTAGTTTTAAATAAAAAAGTTATTTATGTATTTATCTTTTACTATTATTATTATTATTAGTTATTTATGTATTAATCGTAAAGGTATTTACGATTTACTCATTAGGTAACGATATCAGTTTAAAGCTTTTTGATGTATCTTATAATTCAACAAGAATTTTGTTTTGTAAATCAAAATAAAACAATAAATTTACGTAACAATGATTCTAATTTTTATTGTTTTAAAAAAGTAAGGTTTGGCAATTACGAATGAAAATTGATATCTGATAAATGTCCACCACGACCACAGTCACATATTATGTCGACTCTTTCATCAAAGTTTTTAATCACTTTTTGGCAATGGTGGGTCTATTTAGTTAATCACTTCACGAATTTTGAGATTTAAGGCTGCAATCGATTCAGTTAGCTCCGTATAGACTCTGTCTTTAACATAACAATCACATGATCGCGCTGGCCACTTAGCTCAATTTAGTGAAATTATGCGATCGGGAAATTTGGTTTTCAATAAATTCATTGTTTCGGTGGCGCTATAACTCATTGTTCAAGCTCCAATGGAAATAACAAGATCGTTTTAGGTCTCTTTTATCATCATCATCGTCATCATGGCGGCCGTTTTATTATCCAATCTTGGATGTAGGCCTCTTCCCTCTTCCAGTCTTGGCGATCTTGTGCCCGATTAATCCAGTCCCGACCTCCGTACCGTCGGATGTCGTACAACCAGCGCTGGTGTGGTCTGCCGCGCTCTCTGATATTCACTCTGGGTCTCCACTCAATTACTCGCCTTGTCCAGCGCCTCTGATCCATTCTCGCATCCTTTTCTTCGCCACGACAACCATAACATCTTTAACTTTGGTCCTATTTCGGATCCAAGCGTTGCTTTTTCTGTCTCGCAGGGTAACTCCGAGGATTGCTCTCTCCATGCCCCTCTGCGCTGTTGAGTTATGGTTTCCGTACCATAGACGAGCACAGGCATGACACACCGTTCGAAGACTTTAACTTTGAGATGTAGGGGTATTCTCCACATAGCGTTTGTTTGTTGGCACTGAATGCGTGAATGAATGCGCCTGAGCTACCCGTCGTTCCACTTCCGCTGTTTGGTTCTCAAAGCCCAATGTAACCTTATGTCCCAAGTATATGTATTCGGTCACTTTCTCCATTGGAAACTGGTAGTTTTTGACTTCAGGAATGTTCGTCATGATTTTGGTTTTCCCAATGTTCATTTTAAGGCCAGTCTTTTCAGATTCCACCCTAAAATCCTCTAGCATCTTCAGCATATCCTTAATGCTTTCGGAAATCAGAACCAGATCGTCAGCAAATTTTTTATAATCACTAATTCTCAACACGTAAGTACCAGTTAATAATCAAAGTTTTAAATTATGACAACTGACAATAGATAAATTATAACATTTTAATGTTATAACAACTGATGAAATGTTATAACAACTGATAAATAAAATAAGTTCTAACAATAAGAATAATGATCTGCTAGACAACCACGCCAATTATCTAGTCTTAAACTAGGGAATTACTAGTACTATAAGTACCAGAGCGATTCGCACTGGGGCACTAACAAATACATCCAGACCAGAAATAATTTATAAAAGTCCATTTTTTTGTGATACCAGGAGGAACAAATCGTGCGCCTGGTGGTAAGCGACACGCCTGTCCATAACAGTTGCACTGCCATTCAGAGCTTTAAATCGTAAAGATCTTAGGGGTAATCCCATTCCGCCCGTCACCTTGAGACATAAGTTGACAAGTCTCATGTGCCTGTAATTTCACCAGATCCCTTACCCTTCAAAATCGGAACGCAGTAATGCTGACATTACTGCTTGGCGGCAAAGTAAGGTAAGGTGGCAATACGTCTCTGGACGAACTCTTTCACAAGGAGCTCTACTTGCTACTAAAATTGTCATCCAGCGCATACTGTGCAAACCGTTGGGCTACCAAAGTCGTCAAAATCCGACCTAAATTACATAGAATTACAAATGGTAATATAATAAACAAAATAACTTTATATTCCTGATTGTCAGAAAGGTTGAAACAGTTATCGACGTGTTTATTAGTATATACACTTAATCATCGAGCATATTATTACTCGATGCACTAAATACACACCATATTGCATTTATTTGTTTGCGTGAATTTAGTTAAAACCAGTCAGAAGAAAAACACAATAATAATATAAACATTTTAAAGAAGGATGTACAAAATATGATTGGTTTCACATTGATTATTTACAGCAATGAAAAGTCTGAAGGTTTTTCAAACATTATTTAACTAAATTAAATCCTGTATCGAGTTCTTAGGTTTTCGCGATTGTTACACATAGGAAATGAAACTATTTTTCCGGATTTAAATCGCGTGTATTTGTTTTTTCAAACAAACCAACGTTTCGGGCCCTTTACAGGTCCCATGGTCAAGGTTGACTGAGGTAGTACAGTCTTCAACCAGTTATGTCTAATATTAATGCAAACCACCCTATTTTTCACTATAGTTACAATAGTTATTAATTAAATACCTTATTTTTAATATTACAAAGAAAACATTCCAATTTACGCTACATTAAGTTTTACAAATTATTTTATTGAATGAATGTTTATTAAGTTTAATTTATTATTAATTATCAATAGAAATTAGAATAAACTAAAACATATTAATTAGTACTGCAGTCTTATGTCTGTTTGGGATTTTTCATTAGAGGAAATACTGGATCCCAAACTGGTGGTAAATCCTGTATTATAAGGATTATGATCGTTAAAATGATCATGCGAACTGTTTTGCGAACGGTAATATTTTGGTACAATCCATTCAGGTTAAAAATTAAATAAATGTTCGGGTGGAAAACGTGGGAAAATGAAACACGTCTTTGTTAACAAAGGTTTATGTTACATTTTAATTCGCAAAATTCATTTTCAATTTGAGGCGTGTCGGTTTTTCTACAAATAAGAGGTTTAACGTTGTTTTGTTTGCTTTATTTTATTTTTGTTTTATGATACTTAATAAATACGAAATGAATATAAAATAATTACAGTAAGTGGTGCGGCAGTAGCCTAGTCGGAAAACCGTCGACGGCAGCGATTCAACTGCCAGAGGCGACGTTTACCATTGACTTTGATTT